GTTGTGTTGTGTCTCTCAGGGTAACAGGTGGAGAGTTATTTGAAGATATTGTAGCCAGAGAATATTACAGTGAAGCTGATGCCAGGTAAGACCTTCATTTGCTTTTCTAATGTGATTGTTTCAGACATGCAGAGAATCAAAGTGTTTCTCCTTCTCCTTCAGCTATGATTAGTCACACTGATGTTTCAACACTTAGGTTTTTGTTTTACTGAATCATCTTAATGCAAACCTATGCCAATCTCTGCCCCTCTACTGTCTACCCATTGCCTTCCATCCTCAATCCTCTACCCTCTGCCCCACTGCCCTCTACCTTCTGCCCTCTACCCTCTACTCTCTACCTTCTGCCCCACTGCCCTCTACCCTCTACCTTCTGCCCTCTGCCCCCTGCCATCTGCCCCTCTGCCCTCCACCCTCTACCCTCTACCTTCTACCTTCTGCTGTCTACCCTCTGCCCCTCTGCCCTGTACCTTCTGCCCACTACCCTCTACCTTCTGCCCTCTACCCTCTACTCTCTACCTTCTGCCCNAACAATTATCTGTTAAAAAAAAGTTTTAATTAGATTCTGCCGTTCTGACGCGGCCCCCTGTTCTGACACGGCCCCCTTTCTGACGGGGCCCCCTTTCCGATGAGGCCCCCTTTCTGACGGGGCCCCCTTTCTGAAGGGGCCCCCTGTTCTGACGAGGCCCCCTTTCTGACAGGGCCTCCTTTCTGACGCGGCCCCCTGTTCTGACACGGCCCCCTTTCTGACGGGGCCCCCTGTTCTCACGGGGTCCCCTTTTCTGTCGAGGCCCCCTTTCCGATGAGCCCTTCTTTCTGATGGGGCCCCCTTTCTGAAGGGGCCTCCTTTCTGACAAGGCCCCCTTTCTGACGGGACCCCCTTTCTGATGGGGCCCCCTGTTCTGACGCGGCCCCCTTTCTGACAGGGCCTCCTTTCTGACACGGCCCCCTTTCTGACGGGGCCCCAGGCAGCTGATTGGTTGGCCTGTCCTTACAAGATGCCTCTGGAGATGAGGATAAACCAGAACACTGGCTGACCAGATGAAGAAGAGGAACATTCCAGCAGGAGAACATCCAGAGAACAGCATCATCAGGAGCTTCTGCACCAGAACCAACTGGAACCAGGATGTCCAAATAACTTAACTCGCCCAAAAGTACGTCTCATCTGTATTTTTAATATAATAAATGTAAACTGTTTGAACTGGACATCAGGGTAAAAACTGTTCAACTTGGATGTAATCAGATTACTGTGAGGTGACACAGTTTGGACTTTTAACTGAATGTTCGTGGTTTAGTCCGAGGACAGAGTCTGTGCTGCCTCAGTAAGTGTCCTCTGTCTGTCCTCAGTAAGATGTGTGACCCGGCGGTGACGGCGTTCGAGCCAGAGGCGTTGGGGAACCTCGTGGAAGGCCTGGACTTCCACCGCTTTTACTTTGAGAACTGTGAGCTGCACCTTCCTCCTCGAGTTTCACAGCTTCGAGTGGCGTCTGTCCACCTGTCCAGATAACGTCTGTCTCTGTCCACAGTGTGGTCCAAGAACAGCAAACCGGTCCACACCACCATCCTGAACCCGCACATCCACCTGGTGGGCGACGAGGCCGCCTGCATCGCCTACATCAGAGTGACGCAGTACATCGACGCCAACGGGACGCCTCGCACCGCCCAATCGGAGGAGACCAGGGTGTGGCATCGCCGCGACGGCAAGTGGCAGATCGTCCACTTCCACCGCTCAGGCTCCGCCTCCACGCTCAGCAAGTGAGACATGTTTCAGTTCCTCTCTGAATACGATCTGAGCTGCGTGAGTTCAGGCTGATGTTTAATGTTCTCATGATGCTGTCATTTCATACCAAAGACTCTCGTGTTCCTCTCAGAAGAACAGCAGCTCTGACAGTCCTGAGCTCCTGGAGCTGATGAGCTGCTCATCATTCAGGCTTCTGTTTTAGCTCCTGAGACGCAGTCGTCCTCAGAGCTTCAGTCAAAGGAACAAACATCTTTGATTTGGTTCTCAAAGATGTTCCACCTTCAGATGTTTCCTCCACAGCATGAGCTGGTGTCTGTGCTTCAGCCACTGAGTCATGTGATCTGAGGATAACGTTAAACCAAAACCAAACATTCCTGTTTCTTTGTACTGAAGCTCTGAGGATTCTCTCACATGGAATATTTTCTTTCTTTCCTCCAGCTAACTTCCAAAGTGGGCGGGGCTTTGATGGGGCCACCGTCGCCTTGACTACGGATTGATTGACAGCAGGCCTGGCGTCTGACACCAACCAATCAGGATTTTGTTTGAGAAGTTTCATGAGAACAAACGGAGGAGGAGACGACGGGTCCAGAAACTGCATCATTAATCAGTCAATAAATCAATCAATCATCAGCTCACAAACCCCCTTCTCAGCTCGTTTGAACTTCAGCCACCCCCCCTTGTGATCGGCCAATCAGATCTTTTGCCGTAGTTTAGCGGCACAGATTGTAATAATGTGTGGAAACCTTGTATCTCCAGCTTTTCTTCCTCCACAGGTTCAGGNCAGCAGAGCTCTGAGGAAATCCTTTCATTCTGATATCAGCTGTCGGTTTCATGTGACTGAAACAAACTGGAAGCAAACTTTAGAAATGCTGAATATGATTTAGTTTGGCTTCTATTAACTGCATTGGAGGCCTGAAGGTGGCGCTGTCGGCTCTATTTTGTGACATTTGGAAACCAAAACATGAGCTCTGTCGTGTTGTAGGACACATTAAACATGTCTGTAGTAGAGAAACCAGAGCAACCAGGCGTTAGAGGAAGATGGAGACACGTCTTCAGAGGTTATTTACTGTTTCAGTTTGAATGATGTTCGGTGTTTTTCTTGTGTCACATTTACTTCAACTCAGCAGCATGTATGAAGCTGCAGCAGCAGATATTCAGCCTCGCTGTGGATTCAAAGAGTGTGAAAATGGAAACATTACGTATTCACTCAGCCATCCGCTTCCTTCATTACAACAGTCCTGTGTCTTCTCCGCAGTCACTTCCATCTCCTTCTGTCCAGGACGTGTTAGCCTAGCTTAGCAACTGTTAGCATAGCTCGTAGATCCCACCGGTTGTACTGAGCTGTGTGTGCAGTAACTTTGTGTTTCTGTTTTTCAGTTCGACTACATGACAGTATTTCAGAGGAGGCGCATCATTACCTCATCTTTGACCTGTGAGTTCTATTCTATTCTATTCTATTCTATTCTATTCTATTCTATTCTATTCTATTCTGTTCTGAATCCACACCCCATCTCGTTACAGCTGGTTTTTTGTTGATGCTGATGGTGTTTCCGTGCCTCTCTCAGGTGTAATGTTTTCGTTGTTGTATTGTCGTGTTGTGACCATTAATGTGAACGTGATGTAACACAACATTTATGTTACTTCACACATTGTAAAGTCACTTTGTTCATACAGATGAAAACACAAACATATCAACATCTTTTCACTCCTACTTTTATAGTTCTATCATTCTATGTGCCTGTTCATACGTTTACTCTAACTGGACCACTTTCAAAATCTAACTCAATATGAGATTATCTTCATTTTTCTTTCTGAGTCTTTACATTTATATATTTGTTAGCACATTTTAACTAGATCTTTTCTTCCCTTACCGTCGCGTTTTTATACACATTTGATTTGTTTTAATTACATTTTACGTCATTTGTATTTTACTCTAAATATATTTATCAAATTCCATTCTGTTGTAGTTTTATGCTATTCCACTCTTTTTACTTTCTTTAATTTTGCTTTTTGTTTTCATATTCTGTCTTTTCACATTATTTCACTTTTATTTTTCTCTTTAATTCAGCTTCTTATTTCAACTTACTGTTAAATGTTATGTTGTATTTTAAAGGATTTTCCATCTACAGGTACTATGTTGTGTATTGTTGTGTTATGTTGTTAAGTATTGTTGCGGTTAC